AGAAATTCTTGATACTGTAGGATTCACAGTTTGTCTGGTTATGCTGGTTTGTGATGACAACTACTACCGTACCATATACAGGTAATAAATTTCCTTTTTTGTTGTTCAACAATAATTGTGTACTGTATTCATCTTCATGGAAAAATAAGACATCCCTGAAAATAAGACCTAGAGCATCTTTGGGAGCAAAAATTAATATAAGACACTGTCTTATTTTCAGGGAAACAGGGTAGTAGCTGCTCTCTATACATGTGTGTGACTGGTCCACAAAAGTACATTATGGCGCCAACCCTGTTACATACACCTGTATTTGTATGGGGTGTATGCGATGAGGTTGGTGTGATGATGTCATCACGCTGGGTACTCCTATGGGGGTGTATCTGCATGTGGGCAGATCCACCTGGAGATGGATAGAGGAGCGGTGTATGGATTCCTAAGACGATCAGTAATATGTCTTTTCCTATGGTCTTAGGCGACTCCTGTGAAAGGGTTGTCTAACCCCCAAAGGGGTTCCGATCCACAGGTTGAGAACCGCTGCCTTAAATAGAAATCTGGAGTCTGACCTGGTGGAATGAACTCCAAATGCACTATAAGTCCTTTTGGGAAGTTGACAGACGTCCAGACCAAGGTTTGTCCTCAGTCAACATTTCACCTTTTTTGAAATGAGAAAACTACTTTTGAGATTTTTCCATAGCACTGTCATTGTAAGCTGTGTTCAACATCACAACAGTTTCTGCGACATTTTTCCTGAGCAGGAAACAAAATTTCACAGCCACACGCTGTTTTCTTAAACCAGACATCACAAAAAAAAGAGGTTTGAGTGAAACTGCTTTTACAGAAAAATTCACTGTGACTGGAGAGAGCCTTCCCAGGGGACACCACTGGGTGCATGTGGTAGTTACATACTCTGGTGTCATTTTGAGGATTAAGAGTATAAGGGTGGAGTCTAGCCAGGATATAGACAATGAAACCTCTGTGTGGGCATGGCTTTCTCCTGAGGATGCTGGGAAATCGGATTTTCCTCCTTGGAGGCAGGAGAGACTGTCTATCGACTCACTCCCTTGGAGAAGCTCTAATGACAAGACACATGGCTCTATGCTGATAGAACCCGTGTCCTGGGAATTGGAGGAGCCACGTGGAGACCCCTGCCAGTACTTAGATGCTTCTACTCCCACTGTATCCACAAGACTTTGCACCCACGGGCCTGTGATTATCCTGCATTTGGCGTTATTGCATGCATGAGTCTGAAGAGGAGTTTATAGATTGCTATCAGACATAAGGGCTAATATCAGACTAATGGACTTACTATGGACTGGGCTGGGATGTTTTCTCAGTGTTTAACTGCTCTTGTATATAAAACTCTTTATTATACACATGAGTGTGTCTATGAATTTGTTTCTCTAGTCTACCCAGACTAACACGGTGCACTAACTCAAAACAAGTTGCTTGATGCTCGCCTAGTGGGAAAAATGTGTACTAACAAAGCTCCACACAGCAGAGTTTCCCCCACCTTTTTTGGGGGGTGGGTTAACCCCTCCTACATTAGTGATACAAAAAAAGGAACTTAATTCTTCCAACAAAAGCAATCTTTTTAAACACTTTATTTTGAATTAGGTGAAGGTTTGCGGAACACACCACTAGTTTTGCATTCCGCAGTTCATACACATTAAAAATTTTTTTTAGTTCATACATATTTTGTTTCAATTCATCCATCGAAATAAAATCCATATGAAGCAGAAGAACTAGACACCAGCTGACCCCTCTTCAACTACAACCAGCCACATCTAAAGATCAAGTTGGCCTGTTCAGCATGTTAGGAAAGAAGGCAAGCAGCAAGTGGATTCAAGAAAATTACTTGTAATCTTATCTTGCATGATGTGGGGCAAGATTGTTTTTGATCCAAGTCTGATATTTTTTGGTTAGTAGAATGTAGACTCCAGGCTTCTTAGCTTGACCACATTTATGGCCTCCAGAGACTATGGCACTGAAGACACCTTTACAGACCAGTGGGCCACCTGAGTCACCCTGGAAAGAAGAAAATGGCAGATGCTTGGTCAAATGCTGTTGAGCTCTTTCTATACACCTGTTGATTATTAAAACAATTATTCTATGGGCACTTGTTTTGTGTGTATATATGTGTTCTGTAGAGTGCCCAGTATAGGCTTTGGGTCAGTATGGACTCTATGTCTTTGCTCAATGACTAGAGAGTCTATATATCTCTATCTCTGTCCGTGACTCTGTGTCCATGTCTATGTCTCTGTTCTACCTTGTTTAGACCTATGTGCTCATATGTAGATACAGTAACCCACCACAATTAACCTCAATGTAACCATATTGTATTAGCCTGAGGATAGCCATTTTATACTGACCCAAGGATGGCCAATTTGCAAATCCTGTAATTCTTCTTGTAACTGCTGTTTCCTGTAACTGCTGAGCGTTTTCCATTTATTTTTGAATTTGCTGCTAACGTGTCTAAACCCCTGCTCCAAGTTCCCCTTTTGTCCATACATTGGGTTGCCATCTGAGCCCTGCCTTTGTCTCCAAGTTTCTCTTTTTTTCCATACAATGCCTTACTTATTCCCTAGTATGAAAACTTCCCACTTTAATCATGCAGGGTCTTGGGAGAATTAGGCTCTAGTCACCCCATCACTGCTGGCTAATAAAGGCTTACGAACTTTAGTTAAAGCTGTGTGTGGGTTAATCAGTCTCATCCAGGCACAACATGGATACTGCTTGGGTCATCAGTGACCATGAACTTTGTTAGTTGAAAAATGAATGGAGGCAAAGTTTAAAATGATCCATTGTGATAAATGTACCTTTAAATTTTTAAATTTCATTTTTGTGTTCACAGACCTCAAATCAAGGGTCCGTTGAGCCTGGCAGAAACAGGCCCGTGCACACACACACACACACACACACACACACAGCACACATCTTGATGGCAGGGATTATATATCTTCTCTACTGTGATTGCTTTTTTTTTGGCCATTTGAGTCTTATGAGACCTCCCCAGTTGCTCTTTATGGATATGTTATCTTCTTCTAGTCATCTCTAGAGACCTCAGGGGTTGGTAGATTTTATCAGGAGGGTAACACTTCGCATAGGCAGCCTGTGAATATTCAGATATAGTCTACTATATTCAGATATAGTCTACTAGCCTCATTAACAAACATTTAATGAGTGCTCATTAGGTACTGGATGGATTCTTATGACTCATGTATATTGGGGAATGAGGAAGAATAGACACTGCTATGGCGGAAGGGAGAATCAACTTTTTGAGCTGTGAAGCCTTGACTATTGTGAGCTGCCTGTTTCAAGGGTGCCAAAGACTCTGAATATAGCGATACCCTCCCCCAATCCCGATCTATAGCTGTAGAGTTGATTTGGACACTAGTAACCTTACAGGACAGACTCAAATAGCTCTACAGGATTCTCAAGGCTGTAAATCTTTACAGAAGCAGACTGCCACATCCACACAGCCCTCCCCCCACCCCGCGCAGGGTTTAGCTGCTGGCCTTTTGGTTAGCAGCTGCACACTTAGCCATTGTGCCACCAGGGGCTCTTGGTCCCAAGACTCTTACCCAGCAGGAATCCTTTAGGCCTTGGGCGTCTCCTGCACACACCATGTTTCTAGTTATAGTAGGTTTGTGGTTGTAATAACTTTGGCTGTTGCAGAGTTTTCGACTTATGATCGTAACAGCAACCTTCCGCAGAGTATCTGAGGGGCGTACCAAATCTGGGTTGGTGGTTCCCCAGCCGGTAACTTGGCATTTAGTTCCAGGTCTAATATAAGTTTTGAATGTTAAGTGGAGCGGCTGGATATTCTTGTTGAGTTTCACGGCCCTGTGAAGCTGACAGATTGACAAAGAGAAAAATTGATCATTTGCCTTAGTAGGGTTTTGCTCTTACCCTGAGTGCTGTATGTGTGGTCTCTCTGTCCCAGGAGGGCATTCTTCTTCTGAAATCTACTTTGGTGGCAGCCCGCAGCTGCCTTTGTGCTTGTTGCTTTTCGGCACAGGCTCTCTATTCCTTAGAGCTTAGTGGTGGTTAGGGGAAAAGCTTACGCCAAGCAGGAATTCTGCCCAGTCTCAAGCACCCTGGCCTTTGCCCTGTGTTGGATAGTTTCTATGGAACAGCATCCATAGCTCATGACTTTGAGAGCTGGGCTATTTCCTGCTGGATAGGACCCTTGAGTATGGTCTAGACTAAGTTTGGACTAGACTAAATACGGTCTAGACTAAGTTGTAACTCACTGCTGAGCCCTTGAATTCACTTTGGTGGCCCTGATGTATAAATTACTATTATATTTTCCACTTGATAACGGGAAAAACATTTGTGAGAAAGGCTTTCAATGTGTAGCACTGAGATGTTCTTCTCTGACATAGGAGACGATCAAAATGGCTTACCCTTGTACCAACCCAGCCCTGATGCATATGTGATAAATTTGTGTTCTTTTGCAAGCAGTCAGTGGACCCAGAATAGGTCACAAATCCCTCAAACAAGGGAGGATGCTAATGAAATCATTTTGTGTAGATGGTCTCACTAACCAAGGACTATTGAACAAGAACATTGTAGAAGTAGAATGAACATGATACTGCATACCTGAATCAGCATGATGTCATTTGATGTCGGATCTGTTTTAAATCTTGAGAAAGGTACAAGTTTTTTGACCTCTAATATTTGTTTGGAGGCCTCATTCTTTGAGAGAGAGTGGGCTCCTAAAACCACTTTGAGAGACTGACTGTTGGCAAACCTAAAAAAAACAAAGAGATCAGCTGAAGTCAGCATTGAGGAGAGAGACACCAAAGTGGAAGATGCAGTATTGGTTGTGCTGTGTTCAACATGCATGACCAGACATGAGGCCTACTCCCCAGGGCGGCCCTGCATCTTCTAGGATGCTCTTGCACAGTGACGAGAAGGCCCAGAGAAAACATTCTTCTACATGCAATATCTGCATTTCCAGGCTGCATAGTTCAGAAAGCAGGACTCTGAGAACATGGAGTATCAGAAGAAAGTTAAAGCTTGAATAGCCTAAACTAAGCCCAAACCCAAACCAAATAAACCCGTTGCTTTCAAGTCATTTCTGCCGTACAGTGACTCAATGTAAATTGGAGTAGAACTGTGTTCCATAGAGTTTTGAATGGACGATTTTTCCAAAATAGATCACCCAGGCCAGTCTTCCAAAGTGTCTTTGGGTGGGCTTGAACCTGCAACCTTTTGGTCAGCAGCTGCATGTGTTTGCATCACGCAGGGACTCTGTACAGTTTACCAACAACCAAATCAAAATCACTGTCATTGAGTCAATTCCAAGGCCCAGCAGCCCTTTCTCCCTAGAGCTTTCAAAGCTATAAGTCTTTATAGGAGTAGAAAGTCTTGCCTTTGTCCCTCAGAGCAGCTGGTGTGTTTAAACTATTGACCTTATGGTTACCAGCCCAAAGCATAACCCACTATGTATCAGGGTTCCTCCCTGAGCAGCTTAACTGGAGTGAATAGCTCTGTCTAGATATGTTGAAGATGCTGCAGCTGAGCTAGCCTGAAGCAGATGGAAAACTTCTGGGGAAGCTTCCTAATGCAAGCAGTCATAATGAGTTGATAGTGTTGTAATGAATATTACCTACATTTCTTACTAACTAATCAGGTTATGAAAATTGATTTAATTATCTAATGAATTTATAATGTCAAATTGAGTTGTTCCCCCCCCCCCCAAAATAAACCAAAATGAGCAAATATAAAAATACAATTTTAGGCTTAGCTCTGGCAAACCAGTCTTCTCTGGTGACTCGTTAGGTGCCTGCCGGTCAGTTCGAATCATACTGACCTTCTGTACAACGACACAAGACCCCCTGTCCTCCTGCTCCATTCTCATAAGTGTTCTTATGTTTGAGCCTATTGTTGCAGCCACTGTGTCAATCCATCTTGTCGAGGGCCATTTTCTTTTTTGCTGTCCCTCAGTTTAGTGTAATTGCTCTACTTGCCCCCAAGTAAACTATCTTAGAATGGCAGTAGCATTGTTTGTCATATAGATTTTGTTTTTCAATGTTATTCTTTAGCCAAATTGTGTGTGTGTGTGTGTGTGTGTGTGTAATACTTGTGATCTATAATCTGAAAAATAGTAACTTTGTTCCTTAAATTGAACAAAGGGCATCTTTGCCAAGTGGTATAAATTGAAAAAGTTCTACCCATTATCTTATTTCCATCCATTATTTTTGCTAAGCCAAGCCATATTTTACCTCTTCTAAAAGGATTGGTTAGTAGACATCAGAATAAGGAAATAGAAAAAAAAGGAATCATTTATGCTGGTTTAGGTAAGCAACTAGTTGGACCATATGAAATTTCTGCTATTCAACCATTTTAATGAATGAAACTAGCAATTTAGTGATTTAATCTATTGATTTTTCCCTACGAATGTATTTACACATGAGCCATAACCTCATAACTCCATAGCTGGTTCTGATAATATTATAGAATTAAATATATCATCACAGCAAAGACCACAATGGATTCTAAATGATTTCACCACTTAGGCGAGTTGAAAAACCATTGTCAAAAAGAATGAAAGATTTTAAGCTTTTGTGGTAGATAACGTCCCTAAAACAAAGATCAATAAAACATTTACTTAAACCACTCATGTATAAAACAAAAAATTCAAAATATTAATAAATTATTTTCTTCCTGATAAACATAAGCTCCTTGGAGGTGGGCCATTTTGTCTCTCTTCTGACTGTTGTATCCTCAGGTTAGGGACTATCATCGTTCCTGATATGGAGTAATCAATAAATAGTTGTTTGTGGGGGGAAGTCAGATCCTTGCTGCCAGACTGCTGTCTCATCCCACCACAGGGGTGGGCCTGCTCCTTGCTGCTGGGGACAATGGACAGGCTCCTGCGGGCGGAGTTCGCATCCTACTGATAATGGTCTCTATCAGTTGGGCCAGGGACAGGCCAAACGGGCTGTCCCTCCTCTTCCTATTGCATGTATGCCCCTAGACCACCCCCTCATTACTGTGTAACCTATAGTGCAGCCCCTTCCTGTGATGTATGTCTCTACCTGTATAGTGGGCTGGCTTGCCCCCAAAAGGTATATAGGCGTGAGTCAGCAATATAGAGCTCTCGGACTCGGACCTCTCTGACTCTCTCTGGCTCCCCTCTCTTCCCCCTCTCCCTTGTTCCCTTGTCCTCCTTCCCTTCCTCCTCTCTCCACGTGGACCACCAAGCTGGGCTGAGGTGAGCAATGCTACCATGTAATGTGTCTGACTGCATTATTGTAATATCTCTCATGCTCTCGATGCTCTCTATTACTTTAATAGAATACTTATATATCTCAACCGTACAATTGTGCATTACTAAACCCAGAAGCAGTATTACTGAACCAGTGAGTACTGTTAGGGGGTGGGGGCTGGCACCCCACTCAGCGGTGCCACTTTTAATTTAATACTACAGTTGTTGAATGAATGGGTAATTCTCTTTCACTCTTTGCCTCTGTGTCACTGCCTCTGTGGAAGGCTGTTTACTGTCAGAAAGCAATGAAAAGGGAAGCTTTTTCAGAAGTGGGGTTTTCCTTATTGGCTTCAAGCTTTCAAAACAAAGGGGACTGAGTCTTCACAAGGCGAAATGACAGAAAGAGATTCCCAGGGGACTGTGGGACAATGGTCCAGTGATGGAGAGAACACAATGAGAACACAAGGTCTCAGGTCTCAGAGCCTGAGTCTTGAGTATTTCAGAGGCAGTAAGCCTCACAGAGGGAGTGGTCATTGCAGAGTAAGGTAAAATTGTCAAGGTCACAGATGGCCTCACCAAGACTCCTGGACTGTAAAGTGAAATGGAAGCAGCAGAATTATCTCCAAATTCCCCAGCGGAAAGTAGAAATGGTGGAGAAGATCATGGAGCTACAGGAACAAAGACCATCTTCAAGTTCATCTGCCTGGACCAAGGACTGAAAATTAGGAGGCTCGACAGAGCTCGTAGTGGACACCTGCATTAATGGTTGACTTTAAGGGCCAAGCTTGCTCTGGCCAACCTTACCCTACTCCTTTGCAGATGTCAGCCCAGGGAAAGAATATCAGAAGTTGTAGGAAGAAACAGGTAAAATCTTAATTGATCAAGATTGTGTTTATAGCAAATTATGATAAATTATCTAAAAATAAAGAAGGTTATATTTGTTAGCTAGGAGTTTGTGGGTTGAGGTTTTTATATGCTATTGTGAATATTTTTTTAATGACCAAAGGCATGAGCCTAATGCTACCCTTGTTCACTTGATATTTCTAGATCTCAGGTTGGGGCAATAGGGGTGAAAAGACCATTTCATGACTCACATGCTCAAATGCCCTGTATTCTTTTGGGTTTGGGGGAATGAGCACTTGTTGGCAGTGGAGCTGGTGAAGCCGTGACTTTCTGGAAATATTCTTTTTGTGGTTTATAACAAAATAATTCGTTTTAGCAATTTCAACTCTGTTCAAAAGTTTGACTATTGCAAAATTGGTCTGGGGATGGAACTTCTCATAGGCCGTGGATAGAATCCCTAGGATTGAGTTAATTCAAATGGAGCCCTGCTGTGGCCAGGTGCTGCTGAGTCAGTTCTGACTGACGAGATCGGGCTGAGCTGAAGTCTCCAAGGCCTGATGCTCTAGCAGAGTGCGATGGATCCACGTCAAGTCACCCACCGGTGGAAGGCTGTGGACCATGGATAGGGAGGGGACACGGAACACAGATTTTGATGGAGGGTGTGGCTGAAAAAATTATTGGTTTTCCTTCATATTTTACCAATTTCCTTGACTGGCTATGGACTTTGAAATGTATTGGTTATTTCCCCCCCACTGGGGCACACTAATCCCAAAACAACCAATGCAGATGTTGAATGTTTTCTGAAATTTCCATGTCCGGAATCTCTATCTGGAATCTGTATGACAATAGCGCAAAGGTCAGTTTTTCTACCTTCAGGGTACCTGGAATTACCTGAGTTCTAGGATCCCATCTCCTAAACTAACTCAGGTCTGAAATTGCACGCAGAAGGAGAAATAACGTCAGGTCTGACACCTGTGCAGTGTAGTGTTGCTCTACGTGTGATCAAAAGACCACCTGCTGTGGAACCACCTGGGGCCTGCTTGTTTAAATTATAGCTCTTATTCCTCTACTGGGTTTATTTGAAACAGAATTACATACAGAGCAGAACAATGGGTGTATTGCTTGTTTGTTTATATTAGGTGCTGCGGAGTGGGTTCTAACTCACAGTGACCCCATGCATGACAGAATGAAACACTGCCAAGTTCTTCACCATCCTCAGAACTGTTCCTGTGTTTGAGCCCGTTGCTGCAGTCATGGTGCCAATCGATCTTGTCGAAGGTCTTCCTGATTTTTGATGCCTTTCCATGCCATCAAGCATGGTCTTCTTCTGCAGACACTGGTCCCGCCTGACAATATGTCCAAGGCACATGAGGTGAAGTCTTGTCATTGTTGCTTCTAAGGTGCACTCTGGCTGTACTTCTTTTAAGACAGATCTGCAGACTTTCAATACTTTCAATATTCTTCACCACCACCAAAATTCAAATGCATCAATTCTTCTCCAGTCTCCTTTATTCAATGTCCAACTTTCATGTGCATATGAAGCACCTGAAAATACCATGGCTTGGTTCAGGTGTACCTTAACCTTACTTTTCCACACCTTAAAGAGGTCTTGGACAGTAGTAGGACAGAGTAGAACTGCTCCTGTGTGTTTCTTCAACTCTTTTCTGGAGTAGAGGACCTCACCTTTCTCCTGCGGAGAGGCTGGTGGTTTCAACCTGCTGATGTTGTAGTTAGCAGCCCAGTGCATAATCACTATGCCATCAGGGCTTTCTGGCTTGCATTCTTGCATATTTATCTGTATAGGAAAACTGGGATGGTTGGAACTATAGACCGTAACAGAATTTCTAATTACCTGGGGATTTGGAGGATGGGGAAAAGAGGGAATGAACATCAGTGTGTAAAGGAAAATAGAGAAGATTCCTAAGTTGATTGTGGCGATGATTGCACAGCCTTTCTTGATATGATCAGATTATTGAATTATATGATATGTTAATCATAGCTCAAGTGAAAAAAAGGACAAGAACATTAAAGTAGAAAAAACAAACAACACCAAAACCAATATAGTCTCAAAACCCACAGGGGCAGATCTACTCTGCTCTGTAGGGTTGCTGTGAGTTAGGATTGACTCAATTGACAGTGAGTCAGATGTTCTGAGGGAGAAAGATGAGACAGTTTGCTTCCGTCAAGATTTATAACCTTGGGAACCCGATGGCACTGTTCTACTCCAGCATACAGGGTTACTACATGAGCCAGAATGGACTTTATGGCAGTGAGTTTAACCCCATTAACACAGATTGGATTGTCAGATTAGTTACTCTAATAATTTCCCGGAAAGCTTAAATAATAACAATACCAAATAACAGTTTCCACGCTAAGCATTTTAACCACCACCTCATTTAAACCTCATAACATCCATGTGCAATAGGTATTAGGATTATCTGCATTTTGTAGAAAAGGAAATTGAGGCTCAAGTGAATAAATATACCTGAAAAGACCTGAGAGATTTTAAGAGGTGGTTCCAGGATGCAAACCCCGGCAGAATGAAAACTCAGTGGGAATCCAAGACCTATGCTTTTTACTCTTAGACTCTGGGGGCCTTGTGTTACAGGAAACGCAGTTTGAGCTTGTCTAGATAAGGTCCTGGAGGTTTCCATCACATAACTTGCTAGACTGGTGGAAGGGGGAGGAAGTGCTAATTGAGGTAGGACTCTAGAGAAGACCCAGAGAAAGTTGGGGCATTAGTGGAGGACAATAGTTGATGGCTGTTTGGTATCTGCTAAATTAAAATGCTGGAAGAAAAGAGTTTTTAAACATTTTACTGTTATATTAATTACTTTCTTCTAAAAAAAAAGAAACCAATAAAATAAGATTCTACAGGAAGCTTTTCTTGGTGTCAGTATATAACTGACAGACAACTAATAAAGGGGTAAAGAGTAACCATGTAGATGGATGGATCATGCCAAGTAGTAAAATATTCCCACAAGAGGTTGGGAATACATTTGTGGGAAGCCACCATTGAACAAGCTCATAAATATTTTGAATTGCATGGAGTTTTAATATTTTTCCACACGCTGATCTCCCTATATGTTTACAGCCAAGTGCCTTGTAGAGGAAATTTGATCCACACATATTGGAGTTCTTTATATGCCAGCCATTTCAAATGATATTTAGCAATATTTTTCTTTTTAATTCCAAGACTTCTTGCCTGTCTTTTTTAAAAAAAAAATCAGTTCTTTTCTACAATTTGAGAATGCATATCTACTGAGTCAAGTTAACTTAACAAACATTTTTAATTAAACTTAACCATGCATTTGAACAGTGGGTTGCACTTTATGGTTTGTGAAAGACTTCATACACCATGTTTCAGGCTTAGCACCCTCCACTCCCAAAGTCCTCTAACTTATTTCTTTCTTTCCAGCCAGAATTTGTTGAGTATGATTTTCAAGGTTATAGTCCAATTTAACATATACTAGAATTGAATTTGAAGATGTGAGCATTATACAGGTATTTTGAGTGAACATTCACTGATGGTCACCATTGTCAGGCTGGGCCTAAGGTGACAGGTGTTCTAGAGAGAAGGGCAGATGTGATGGGGACAGATGGGACTCATTTAAATGACATAAGTATATCAAATTGGGAGTCAGTGACTTGCTATTTAAAAACAATAGAGAAATTCTTGTCATTTATAGGCTTCCTATTTGTGCTTCAATTTCACCATTAAGATGGGACAATCACACAAAAGGGATGTGAAGAAGCAAGGCCCCATCTTTCTCTTACGGAGCGGCTGGTGGTTTCAAACTGTGGACCTTGCTGCTAGCAGGCCAACTAGTAACCACTATCCATCACCAGAGCTCCTAATGTGACTAAACCCACCAGGAGTGGGAAAACCCTTTAGCAAAGCAGCTTCTTACATATATGATAATAATGGTAACAGTAAAATCCAAACCAACTAGCTGCCACTGAGTCACCTCATGACAACTCCGTGGTGTTGGAGCAGAACTGTTCTCCATAGCATTGTCAAAGGCTGTTTTTTTTTAGGATGTAGACCACCAGGCTTTTCTTCTGAGGCACCTCTGGGGAGAAGCAAATCTCCAGTTTACTCATTAGCAGCAGAGTGGTTAACCATTTGCACTACCCAGGAACATCAGTAATAATAAGGGCTGCAATTTATTTGTACATAGTAGGTGCCAAGCATACTAAAACATTTAAATGGATACCTTTGAATCCTCAGAGCCCTGTGAAGCCCTTGTAAACGGGGGACGATGAACAGTGCTTGCAAATTCAGGCCGCCTGATTTTGTCACAAGCAGCAAGGTGAGGAAAGCTGCCACTTCCGTTGTTCCTGTTACTGTTGCCCTAGCATTCTTCATAGGACTTCACTGAGGCTGGTGGGTTGTCTCAGAAAGTAACATATGGAAAGATATCCCAGTCCTCCGCAGCAAGGGACACTTTGCTGGGAAAAATCATCTATGAGAAAAGTGATGGGTACTCACAGAGACTGGCAGTGGGCTGCTGTCAGCACCCACTGAGGATGGATGAGAACTCCTCCACACACGTGGTCTCCACCATACTGGATGGAGGCCATAAAAGGCTGGGAATGAGGTGGCACTTCTCTCCCTCCAATAATTTCCATGTTGAAACCTACAAGCAAATCAACAGATTTACCATGAAGAACCTAAACAGATTGTGTCACTGAATTCTTCTGATGATCATTACTGTTTTATTTTCAAAGGTAATAGAAAAGCCCAATAGTCACCTAGTAGCTATTACTAGAATTTTACTGATGAACAAATGCACAACACTTTAGAGCTCAGAAACATTGACATGGATGGGCAAAGGTATTTTTCATCTGCAATTCTACAGTATGCTCACTAGAAATTTGCTTCATGATTAAATTAATAGGCATAAGTGATACTTACCCTCTGGAGTCATAGAAGCACCAGCTATTATGAAGAATAAAGAAAAAGAAGCACATTTAGCCATTTTAATAATGAAGATTTAAGAAGCCCAGATTAAACACTCTGACCTATTAGAAAAGGAAGAAGGCTCTGAAGACAGGGTTTTGCTCTTGGTGAATGCTAACTTCTTCACCACAGCTGTTGTTTCACACTGTGGTTTAAGAGTGTGTTTGAGGCCTCCTATGTGCTCCAAGCTGCCATAGGCCACATCACCACGGCTTCATGTGAGATCATCCAGTGCAGCACCATCCTCTTGGGCTCACAACCACCTGACCAGCATCCCCTGAGAGGACCATCCAACTTGCCTTCCAAATAACAAAATACTGGTTGGCTAGGGAAAGATTGAAGCCACAGGAGGATAAAGCAGTAGCATGACCCCTAGTGTAGTTAGCTGCAGGCAGTTTGAAGAAGCATTCCTAGGAGTCCCCCAAAGAGAGAGCCCAGTGCTCTTTGATTCTTTGGAAAATGGAGTCGGGCTCTTCTAAAATGACACACAAACAGCAACCATCCCCAACAACCTCAACAACAACAAAAACAATAAACTAGAAATAAGAGGCAATGTTTGAAGAAGTCCTGAACCTAACGACATGTATAGAAGTAGCAGATGTTGAGCTGCCACAGAAAGAAATCTTCAGAATGCTGCTTGGAGTCATGCAGGATATGAGGGAAGCACTGCTTGGAGTCATACAGGATATGAGGGAAGCAATACAGAAAAAGGATGAAATGATAGAGGAGTTAAAGGCCACTCACCAAAGGGAAATACAAGACCCAAGGGATAAGAAAACAAAAGCCAGTAGCAAATTCACAGACTTTGCCAACAGACTTGGGGGAGCAGAGAATCACACCAGTGACCTGGAGGATAATCAGGCAGACTTCAACAAATGGAAAAGACAGTCAACTAAGATAATCAGAGAAACTGAAGAAAACCTGAGAGCCATGTATGATGTTATGGATAGGAACAACATTAGCATAATTGGATTGCTGGAACAAGTCACAACAAAGAAGCCAATGGCAAAAATAGAGAGAGAATTCTTAGAAGAAAACTTCCCCAACTTAATGAATGAAAACCATGCAACCATTCAGGAGGTTGAAAGAACACCAGCTAGACTGAATCCCAAGAAGAAGACACCAATGTGTAGAATAGTTAAACAGTCCAACTTTGAGGAAAAGGGAAAAATCTTGAGAGCAGCTAGGGAAAAACAAACATTCACATATAAAAGCAAATAAGAATATGCTCAGACCCTCCAGTGGACACTATGAAGAAGAGGAGAGAATGGAGTAACATATTCCAATAATGGAAGGAAAATAATGCAAACCCAAGTATATTCTATCCAGTCAAATTATCTATCAAGATACATGGAGAAGTAAGAGTCTTCCCAGACATGGAAAAACTTAAAGAATATGCTTAAAAAACCCCAGCCCTAACAAAGATCCTTGCTGACCCAATTTGAGCAGAAGAACAACACTCACAGAGCACAAATAAGAGACCATCACATAGAACAACTCCATCCAGAGGGAAACAGAGAGCAAACAGCCTCCAAGATAGCATTGGGTCAATGGTAGAAAGAAGGCAAGAGTGAACCACACCCAAACATGCACATGTACAACACACTGATAACAAAGGGAGGTATGAAAACACCCAACAAAAAAGGTGCAAGATGACATAACAGAGTCCACAAATGGATGTAATAACCCTGAATATCAATGGACTGAACTCAGGTATTAAAAGGCAGAGGCTAGCAGACTGGCTTAGAAAGCACAACCTGTTGATTTGCTGCATACAGGAGACACATCTCAAGATTACAGACAAAAATAGGCTGAGAATAAAAGGCTGGAGAAAAATATACCAAGAAAATGGCAATTCAAAAAAAGCAGGGGTTGCAATCCTAACCTTGGACAAAATTGATCACAAGGTACAAGCCATAACAATAGAATAGGAGGGAACTATATAATGCTCAAGGGAACAATAGACCAAAAACCAGTGAACATAATAAATATATACGTGCCCAATGAGAGACCCATGAAATTCATCAATCAAACACCCCAAAAGATGAAAAAGGAAATCACAGGCTCAACAAGTATAGTAAATGATTTTAATACATCACTCTCTGAGAAAGATAGACCACAGGGAAAGAAGCTTAACAAAGAGGCAACAGATCTAACCATTACAATTAGATGACTTGACTTGATAGATATTGTCAGAGCTCTGCATCCAAATGCAAAAATATTCACATTTCTCTTTAAGACCACATAGCACATACTTGAAGACAGTCCACATGCTGGGACACAAGTCGAATCTGTGTAAATTCAAGCACGATCATACAGATTTGTCTCTCCTACCACTATGCCATAAGGCTGGAACTCAACAAAAGGACGATTAAGAAAACAAGGGCAAGCAATTGGAGGATGCATAACTATTGCAAAAGGAGTGGGTACTGGCCCAGATCAGAGATGAAATTAGGAAATTTCTAGAAACCAACAAGAATGAGAACATGAAGTACTAAAACCTTTGGGACACAGCAAAGACAGTTATCAGAGGAAGTTTGATAGTAATACATGCACACATGAAAAAGGAAGAGAGACTTATGATTGAGATGCTGCCACAACACTTACAGCATTAGAGCACAGTCAACAGGACAGTCCCACTAATAACAAAAGAAAAGAAATAATAAAAATCAAGGATGAGATTTATGAGAGGTAAAGCAAGAGAACTATAGGGAAAATTAATGCAGTGAAAAGCTGGTTCTTTGAAAGGATCAACAGAATCGACACACCACTGACAAACCTAACCAAAGAAAGGAAGGAACAAATTTCAATAGCAAAGAGGAGGGATGAAACAGAGGATATTACAAAGGACCCTAATGAAATCAAAAGGATAATTACACAGTATTATGAAGGCCTGTACTCCAATGAATTCAACAACTTGGAAGACATGGACAAATGCTTGGGAAAACAATTCCTCCTTAGACTATCCCAGATAGATGTCAAGAATTTCTAAAGACCCATAGCAATAGAAGAAATAGACAAGATTATCAAGGCATTACCAACAAAAAAAATCTCCCAGGCCAGATGGCTTCACTGGAGAATTCTACCAAGCATTTAGGGAAGAACTGACACCAATCTTACACAAACTCTTCCAGAACATAGAAGAAGACAGCAAACTCCCAAACGCTTTTTATGAGTCTAGTATAACTCCGATACCTAAACTAGACAAGGATCCCACAAGAATTGAGAACTATAGACAAATATCCCTAATGAACATTGATGCAAAAATCCTTAACAGAATACTGGCCAATGGAATACACACATATATAAAACAAATAAGTCACCATGACCAAGTGGGATTCATACCAAGGATGCAGGGATGGTTCAACATATGAAAGACCATTAGTATAATCACATTGACATGAAGAATTATAAGAACCACATAATAATATTGATAGATCTGGAAAAAGCATTCAACAATGTCCAACAACATTCCTGTTTGAGACACTCAAGAATATAGGAATGGAAGGAAAATTCCTCAATATA